TATTATAGTGTGTGTGTGTTGTAGTGTGTGTGTGTGTGTATGTGTATATATACTCATTACACTGCTGTACGTACATCGCCTTGGCGTACAGTCAGTACTTCATAATTATCATATGCAAAACACACAAGACAAGTCATATGAACATTTACCTGTTGCTTCGCTAGAACAGGAAGTACACAGTCTACAATCTGTCTAGATACCTTCTTCCATCTATCCTCTCCCTCCTTGTAGCTCTGGTACAGGATGATCAGAAACATATCCAAAACCTACACATAAATACAGAACAATAAGAGACTATTAAATAAAAGTTCAGGAAAACTTCAAACACTATTTTCACATCTTTATAGCTTTAAGAATGTCTCTCCTAAGAGGAGGGTAAGATATGTAGCTTCTTATAAAATGATCCATTAATTCTAGTTAATGGACACCTGAAACTGGCACAAGAAATGATCCATCAACATGTTGTGGTTTTTAGTAACATTTAAATATAGAACAAATCATCCCTAATGAATGGTATTTCAAGAAATATTTTATTAATACCAACATGCAACTTAGAGGTTTTATACATGATAAATTTGTTAACCTGTGGATATTGGATGAGTCGTAGTAGCATAAAAACTACAACTTCCCGCTGAGTATCCAGTTCTTTCCCAGAATCCATCTTGTTGGAGCCTCGTAAAAGAAATAAGTCTTCTACAACTGGTTGGAGTGCAGGGATAGCTAAAAATTCAAATAAAAGTTATTTTTTTGTCCCAATAAAAAATAAGACCCTACAGCAAACTCTCAGATCTCTGACAATAATATAAGGCTAATTTAATAAGAATATTTTTTTTAAACAATAGACAATGGAGAAGCATGTTATTGGTATGTGTCTGTAGTTAATGATAGATATATTAGTATTCAGCAGTAATTACTCATTATTGCCAATTCACTGCAAAGCCAGTGAAACTCTCAAAATTTTAATTCAGTTCTACAACAACTTTGCAGCCATTGTCAGTCCCTATGAAGCATAGAGCAGATACAATTTGAAGAACTTGGTGACCAATAAAAGTTCCTTTCCAGAATGTGATTAACTGGTTAGAACAAAACAATCTCATGGAATTATAACATCCAAACAAGGTTTCCATCAATTCCATAATAACTGCAACATGCAACATGTTTGCAAATGGCTTTTACTCAGCAGTAGCATAAAATACCCACATTCTGCTGTGGTATTCTAAGGTCTCCTCATGATTCACAGAGGCCTCAATGTACCAGTCAAGCACCTCCATTACTTTAATTACTTCTATAGCTACCCCAATGTGCCAATTTTTTAATTTATTTGTCTGTTGCCATTTCTTGAACTTAATTCAATTCAACTCTTTCTAACCTTCTTGCTACAGGTCTTCCTAAGGTCAGGAGTCAAAGAGCATGTCATTATGTTTGTAGATTTACATTCAAAATTTTATTGACCTATTATTTTATGAATAACTATCAATAACTTTGGTATCAAATTGTAGATTATAATTTAAATTTTAGTATTACACATTAGTTAATTTCTTAATTTAAAAGTAAATATTATAAAAAAAATCCTGAATATTGATTTTTTTTGTGTCACATGGTATGTTTAATGCAGCTTTGGTTCAAATTAGATGTTTGTGATGTCCAAATACAAAGTCTATAGTTTCTTACAAATTAAAAATTCAAATTATAAAATAAGAACCTCCTTTTTTTTTCATTTTACTGAGCTATTATTATATTTAAAGAACCAACCAAAATGGCATGCCCACCTCTTCCATTTTTGGAATTTTTTTTCTTCCCATTGTTTGTTGCTGTTTCCCAAAATCAGTTCAATGTAACATATTTTTAATTCTCAGATTTATATTTTTCTTCCCATGTTTAAGTTGAAAAAAAAAAGTATTTGGCAGAAAAACTCCACATATTGTTCACTCAGTAAGTAAGAATTAGAAAAAAAATGATAGAACTATGGGGCTTAAGGGTTATAGGGCAAAATTACAGGGCAAAAAATTGGCCAAAATATTTTGAGTCAAATCTAAAAAATAATACCCAGGTGCACACCCTCAGAGTCCCCTTAGTATTTATGCAAAGTTTCAAAACTCTGAAGTTCTTACTTCTTGGAGCTATGATGGTCACATAAACACACATAGATAAGCTCTTTTATCATTATAGATATATATGTATATGTGTGTGTGTGTGTGTGTGTGTGTGTGTATGTGTATATATACTCATACATGCTTAAAACTTTATAAGATGAACCACAAAATGTTATAAAGAAAAAACCCATACAATATGGAAAAAAAAATATGTTAATATCATATGGGCTTATGTTTTATATACATCATTAACTTTTTTCATGCCTGGATGGGTCCAGTCCACCTCCAGAGCAAAATTGCACCACTGAATTACAAAATTATAGAAGATAAACAACTTTTAGCTGTTCTTTCCACACCTAAAAAAAAAACCTTCAAAGTTAAAAGTTAATCTATAATAGAACTGCAAAGGTAAGAATTTTTCATTCTTTAAAAAATACCACAATGAAATTTTTTCAAAAATGCAAATTCATACAAATAACAAATAAAATCACATATTTGTCAAAGCTACATTACCTGTAGAAAGCAATTCTGAAGTTTCAACTTACTTCATTCAATAATTATGTTTTGCATTGCAATTAAACAAACTATGTAACAGGTTTGTTTGTTTTTAATTTCGT